TTACGTGCACTCTCACATTTGAAAAGGTGGCAATGACTCGTGGACCTTAGGGGTTCGCCTGTGATGTGGGCCAGGAGGAGCAGGACTGTGCTCTATTTTATCAGGAGCAGCTGTTCAAGGAAAGTCCCAGTCATAACGCACTGTAGAAAGTGAGATACCGTCTTGATCGTGTGCGTATGGATCTCGTATTTTGCACAGTGACACTGAAGTAACTTTTTTGAGCAAGTGGTCAGAGCATTGCATGATACTGTACTACGTGGTTCCTTAACACTTCCTCTCTCCGCTGTCATTACTGCCCGGACAAATGTAGTTATGGGACGTCATTTTATGTGCAGCCTATTGTTACACCTCTCCATTGCTCTTGCTCCATTTGTGTAACCAGGCAACGGCAATTTGAAAGCTTGTCTCTTCAGAGACACAATCACCATAACTCTGAGAGCACTCCAGACAACTTGATGAAGCCAATGATTTTTGCGTGATTGATCAAACTACAGCCCACGCAATCCCTACTGAAACCCTCTGCATATCTTGTATACAGTCAAATATTAATCGGCAAATACAGTGAAGAACACAAGGAATTAGTACATAAGAATCATCATTGAACATTTTCAAATCACACGAAGAAAATACACAATCAAGGTTAACCCTCAGACAAATCAGACTGGCAAGCATCAACAGGAGGGATTTCACCTTCAAAACATAAAATCTGTGCTGTGTTAAGAAAATCCATTTCACTTGCAAATGCAAAGCTTCCCAATCCTGCTGTTTAGATGCCTGCCCAAACTTGTTGTAGATTTGCAACAAAATGCCAGGAAAGGGAGTGGAAACAACATAGACTTCTGGGAAACTACAACAGTATATTTTTTCATTTACACTTTTCCTGTTTTCGAGCTTAGCATCTTATTGTTTCTCAATAACAGAGACGAATACTGCACAACAGCATCAATCTTTAAAAAAATTCACGCTTCTCCAATACTCCACCTGGTCTAACTCAACACTAGTGCCAAAGCGGGCCAGCAAGGACTTACCAAAGGACTGCAGACAAGCCTGGATGAGCTCCTCCCAGCTTGCCCCCTTGGTTAGGTGTCCCAGGGGCATATTTGGTTTAGCCGGGACACTTTGGGTGAGACTGGGCTTGTGGAACCTGCGAGGGCGGCCTGGGGGAGAAACTCTAGGCCTGGAGGTGCATCCTGGAGTCACCCTCCTTGAGAAACAGCAACACAAGTAGAGTTAGGGGGAGGAGAGAAGCGAGGGCTTGTTGTAATGAAAGTGCGTTTCTCTATTTGCATATGAGGATGTAGGGTAGCCTATTGTATGTGTATGCAGACTACATGTGTTTCAAACCATTATTGTATGAGACCACAGATTAATACACATGAAAAAATATGTGCATGCCTAACTGTCACAAAACACTGGGGCGATTGTTTAAACTTTAAACCCCCATAGGATGTTGCGATTCATTGTTCTCATATCCTTCCTTTAACGTGGGGAAATACCGGTTGATTGCGGACATCCAGTCTAAACTGTTGTTGAGTGACCAGTAAACAAGAAGGAATGTGCTCGAAACATGTGCAGTTTGAGCGCATCGGGTCATGAAAGTAACAACAATTCAGATTAAAGACCACGTTAACCTCTTGCGCGTTGGTGCGCAAAATAGTTGGGTAGCTTCATTTCACTTTTACGAACCTTTCAGGCACAAATTAAGACACGCCTGTTTATGTACCACTACGAAAAGTCAGTAATACAAAAATTGATAAATCAAATAAGCATCTGTTGAATAAGCACGCGCGTTTTCGCCAAGCCAACAGCAGACGCTCTTCAGCAAAACCATTTAAAAAATGTGATCTGACTTACGCATCCTCCTTTCCCTTTTCGTCCGGCGTTACACTTTCGTTTTGGTTGTTTTCTTTTGGTTGACATCCCATGGCGAGGTACTGGGCGACGAGCGGCTGAACTAGGCTGTCCATCTGTGTTCTCCTCGATGGGAGCATTTCATCACTCTGCTCGGTTAAGTGTGCCTCCGCGGTCTCCGCAGCATTGTGCTGACTCGTCAATGAACATTACACAATTAAGAGTCACCCAGCTTGTCGGCGAGTGGGCGGCGGTGGCTTGTCACTCACACAGAGTGGGCTCCACACTTCACCAGTCGTCAAGTCGAGTTCTCATAGGTTTATAATTTACAACCTTCATCAAAGAGTTGCTTTATTCGGTGAAGTCTCTCTTGACATGGGGAGCCAACAAAATGAGAAGCAGTTAATGTTTCACTGTCTTCTCACTTATTTGAAACTGTAATAAGGATCAGTAATTTGATCATAGATTTCAGTCTCCACATATTTATGCTGTCCTTTATCAAATCATATTCAGCAAAATAAAAAAATCTCATTAGATTCACACAAACCCAAGGTCCATGTCTCTTCGGGTCTTAATAGCCTTCATTTTGCAAAATCTGTGGGAGGCAATGCCTTTTTTTTAGTTTACTAAAACATTTTTGTTTGCTCAGCCTGCAGAACAGGAAAAGGCTGGACCTTCCTCTAAAGATAACAGCGGTTACAGGTTGTACCATACTGTAGGTGGTCCAGAGAAGATGTTTCCTGAAGGCCTTTCAACAGCTTTAAGAAGTTCTGCGAGTCTTATCACATGGATCCGGGTGGAGAACAGAGCTCTGTGATAAGGGACTCATGTAGACAGCATGCCAATGAATAACAGCACAGTCAATTAGTTAACATTTGATTGCTAAGGGCCATACATAGACTGATTTAAGGGATTTAGAATTTTAGAATTTTGAAAAGATAGGTAGAGAGATATAGAATTTTACTTTTTTTACTATGACTTAAAAACTACATCTACAATCACAGTTAGTGGTTCACAAGAAGAAGAGCACACCTGAGTTCTCATCTGCATACACTGCTGTAATAGGTAATATGAAAATCTTTACATATGCAATTAATCACAGCTTTTCGTTGACCACAAAACATCCAATTTAAGCAAAAAAAGAAATGTTGATGAATAAGCTTTGTCTTTGCTTTTTTTCACTTGACTTTAAGTGAGTATTAAGCACAGGAGAAACAATACACAACAAAGGACAAATAATTTAAGGTGAGTACAGTCTATGATTAAATCTGAGACGGCTCTGTGTCTCCTGCATCCCAGAGCGCCCTTCCTTTGATTAGGTGTCTCCCTGTGTGCTGTACACAGACAAACAGTAGCTGGAGTTCATGTGTTTCCACAGGCAGCGTGAAGTCATGAAAACCTGTGTATTAGCAGCTGGCTACTTCTGATAAGATAGCTTGCCTGCACACTTGTGTGTGCCATTGCTGTTATCAGACCAGCCAGGGATGCCTTAAGGCTGCCTTTTTGTCATAACAGTGAGCCTAGTACTGCTGACAGAAATGCCCTGCTTAAATAAACATTAAAAAAAAAAAACTCTACATACATTACCATTTGGGGTTTGTGTTACTTGTGACCATGGCCTCTTTGTGAGTCTCCATCCAACCTTAGTCCAAAGACAAACACATACCAAAGTCTGCCTTCTACTACAGGAGTGACTTGATTCAACTTGTTCCAAGCATTTTAAACGCATCTCACTGTAGCACTGCTTCTGGCATTATATGATACATTTGGGTGGATCATATTTCTACATCGGCTTATGATTATGCCCCCTGAGAGACCCCATGCAAAGTTAGGAATGTAGATGCTTCCTTAGATAAAATCTCTAGATAAGTGGCCAATGGCAAACAAGTGTCAAATGTTTAAAAGAGAGAATAGTTTTGGGTTTCATGGCAGAAATCACATAGCTTTTCATGTACATGTCATCGTATCTTATCTTATTATTATCTTTATTTGCATTTTGTATTGTAGAGGTAAAATATCAGATGTGTTTCGCCTGCATACCCGGGTACAGATCATCTAAAGATGATGAGTTCAGGCATCAGCCCTGTGGTCTGACGCAAAATATGCAGCATGGCCAATTAGTAGTCAGCCAGTCACTGCTGCAGCCAGCAGCACAATGATTTATGTCTTTAGGGTGTAAGTAAAAAGGGCAGTGAAGGATTTCTTGATAAATTATTAAGATCTAATTAAACTATATTCAAATGTTATCTCTCTAAGGATATAGTGTGGGCCAACACAGGGCACTGACACACTGTACGCAGGCAAATGAAAAATGGTCACATGCACACACTTTGTAATGTGGATGAAAATGTATGACTGCTTTTATGTAAAGTGTCATTGTCCGATAGAAAATTGGCAGAGTTCTAATAAACAAACTTGGGTCTAAAGAGTGAAAGACCTCGGAGTAACAGCAATTAGATCAATGCCTGGGCTGTGACCACCCCCTGGTGGAAATTTTGAATTATCTACTTACACCTGGGAGCATACTGGCCTCTGGTTTTGAGAATTACCTACTGCAGTGAATACTGTATAAGATGAAATAGCTCACTCAAGTGTTAGTGTTGCATTTCTTTGTAGACACTAGCTTACCATACCAGAGCTGTCTGCCCCTGCTGTTTTTCACCACCACAGACTCCACAATTAGCTGAATCTGAAAAAGTAGGAGCAGGACTGCAGTACGCTTCAGTAAAACAAAAATGTTGCAATCATTCTGTAAACTGTAAAAATTTTCATTTTTAGATTGATGTGCCCCCTGATTTTAATAATATCTATGTTTGTTAAATTGGCTTAACACAAGCTTAAAAGTTTGAAACACACAGACCGTATCAATTTCAAATTCAACTCCCACCAGTCCTTATTAAAGACCTAATAACAGTTAGTGTATTTTAGATCCTGACGTGCCGCCTGACACAGTCTCTATTTTAATCCACTGGGGGGCGTCAAAGTTAGAAATTATGGAATTATTCACTTAAGGTTAGCTTTACACAAAACTAATAATGCTGATGCGCAGTTTGTGTGGGCAACTATATAGCTAATGATATACATACATTTCTATGCTAATATTAGATATTGCATTTTAAATTAGTTTAATACTTGTGTGTACGTGTAATACGTGTAATGTTGATCTGTTAGCCAGGGAAAAGAAATCGTTACCGTTAACGAGGAGCTGTTGAACGCAACATTAACTTGATTTGCACGTCAGGATGCAACGCTAACTTTCTGACGCTTAGCCAGGTCAAGCCTTGCTAGTCATTACTGTGGCTAAAGGAAAAGCGTCGACAGCCTGATCCTTCTACGCTAGCAGCTTCATTGTGTTTAATTGCTTGAAACAACTCATACATGACTTCAAAATGGTTGTGGGCGACGTCCAGTTACTGAACAACCTCAAGGGAAAACGCATCAAACTGACCCTCAAGAGTTCATCTTGTTGCCTTGGCGTCGTCGAGCGCATCAATCCCAACAAAACGTTGATTTTGGCGGACGGTTAGAAAAATGTTCATCGTGCATTTTGTATAGTTACTTTTTTTTCGCACAGCATTGTTTAAGAGTTAACTTAATAATTGGTAATAATTGGCAACTTGCTGCCTGTAAGTAAAAAATGATTCACTATTCCTAGCTAGAATAACCTAACTGGTGTTTTTTGTTGCAGTTATGGGAGCCACTGATGGTGGTAACGTTACTTTTCACCCCTCAAAACTGTTCTTCGGGCACCAGATTCTGAATGGTGAGTTCACTCGTGACAAGTGCTATCTGAAAAACTGAAATATCTGCTAAATAGTTTATTTTGTTTTGTAATTTAAAAGTTTATATCTGACGTGCCATTTTTGTGTAATTCAATTAACAGTGGAATTTACCAAAGAAGCAAACACTGACAGTGGGTAAGAATTTAACCGCTAACAATGTGTCACTATTGGTGACTATGACTTGACCATTAACTATAACATGCAATGTGTTGCACAGAAATAGTCATGACCCCATACTTGAAGAGCACTTGAATGTGGAAAAGTTTCAGCCATACAGGAAGACGATCACATTGGGTAAGTATAAAGAAGGCATGGGATATTCTCTGAAATTGTTTTCTCTAAAGTTTTATTCATACTAAGAATTCATGTCTTCTAAATGGAAATCATTAATCGCCATTGAGAGGATCATTATTTGCAGATGATGATAAAGATGAAGAAGAGTATATGAACCTTGTAGTCATTGATGAGTTTCATGAGAAGTTTGTACCTGCTGTAAGTTGAATTTAAGTTCCTTTATGTACTCTTGACGTATATTTTTCAGTATGCAAATGTGTAAGGACAGTGAGACCTGTTTAAAAAACTGTAATGAGTTCCCATCCTTCAGGTGATGCACATCAAGAAGCAGCGTGTGATCAGTGTGGGAGCTGAAGGAGTCGAGGTGTATAAGCAAGGGAGACTGTGTTGGCTGCAGGTGAGAAGTTTTGAATTGCTGCTTTTTTTTTGAGTCCTTCCTTCTGACCTTTGCTCCCTTCTGCTTTCTTTTCCTTCGTCACAAGAATGACAGAAGAAAACACCGTAACTGAAACTGGTCTTGATTCTTCTAGATTGCCACTAAAAACAAGGTATACCTATTTGATATCCTGTTACTCGGAGCCCGGGCTTTTAAGAATGGTCTCTCCATGATCCTGGAAAGTAAGCACATACTGAAGGTGAGCAGCATAAACAGACTAGAAATACTGTCCAGTCACAGGGATGGATTATTACCATAACATCTATGTTGATTGTGCATTTCGTACAGGTCATTCACGACTGCAGAGCCATTGCTGGATGTCTGATCTCTCAGTTTGGAGTGCAGCTAGTCAACGTCTTTGACACACAGGTACACGTACAGAGGCTTACTTTAGAACACTTGATGTTATTGCATCACTTGTGGTTTAGTTGAGCTTACATATTTCCTGCTTTTCTTTCTGCATCCTTGTTAAGGTGGCAGATGTCCTGTGCTTCTACTCCGAGACAGGAGGTTTCCTTCCCAACAGAGTCTGTACTCTGCAAGAGGTGGTGAGTCTCCATCTGAAGGTGCCCTCCTCCCAGCTCTTATCCCTTCAGATGAAGTCACAGCTCACCAAGGTACAGCAAACAGTCTTATCCAGGATAGGTTTATTTGACGTATAGTTGTATCTGTGTGTGCTGTAATCACCGGTGTGTGTTTTTGCAGGAAGAAAGGGAGATGTGGCAAAAACGGCCCTGTCCTGCAGCCCTTCTTAAGGTGATGGCTCTGTCAGTGATCCACCTTCAGCCACTCAGACTGGTGCTGCTGGACACTCTTATGACAGACTACATGGCACTGGTAGATTCATACATCAACAGCAGTCACTATGAACCTGATTACTTGGAGCATGTCAGCATGGTGGGTAATTTACAAATTGTTTTTTTTTAAGTTTTTGCTGCAACTATAATCCTGTCAGGATTACACAAATGCGCACATTTCCACGGTGTATAGTCATCCGTCTTTAGATTGCAAAATCTGGCACAATTTGTCTTTGAAATGTGCACTGCTTAGTAAAAGTCTAAAGTCTTTTTCCATTTTGATAATTTCTACTTGCTAGCCACCTTGTAGATTCTGTGACCAAGTAAAAGCAAAAGTATATCTGTATCTCCTGTATCTCTGTATATAGGCTTCTGATTTGCTTTTTTTTATTCTAACTGGTTTGTTAACTAGTCTGATCGGTTAGCCCCTATAATTGTTCCCATGTGGCAACAAATAGTGAAAACAAAGATCCATGTGTATTTTTTTCAATGGATATTTCGCAAAGAAGCAGATTATGGATGCAAGATAGCAATAAAAGTTGGCAGGACATCACATATAAAGGTAAAAAAGCAATAAATAGTTGGCAGGGGGTTTATTTCTTAATTTCAGTCCCAATCAGGTGAACCAAAATGTTTGTTGCATTCACAATTCAATTGGATTTAAAGCAGGATAACTGCATTTCCATACAGGTTTGTAGGTGCCTTCTTTTTTTATACTCCCTGAGATTATTTGGATGGATTTAAACGGTTTTATTTTGTGTATTGCTTTCATGAAAATCATGCTAAACTTGTTTAAACAATAGGTTCACAAGTTTATTTTATTACAATACTCTCATGCCAATATGTATAAATAATATACTATTGTCTAATTTCTCAATCTGGTAAAATTAGGACCAAAACGGTGTGTTTAATAATACCCCGTGGTATAGCAGCATACAGGTAAACAGTCTGCCTGTTTGTATCTTAAGGAGAGCATGTTGGAGTTGCCCAAAGAGCTCAGGCAGCTGGAGAAAATGCGTCGGGAGCGGCAGAAGTGGGCTGCCGATCGCTACCCTGTCACGGAGCACGGTCTGCTGGCTCGATTCAACCCCCGAACGCAGTCATCATCCCAGACCTCGCCTGCAGCACAGAAGCATGGCCAGACACAAGCAGATTCCTTTAAACCTGCAACTGTGGAATTGCCTCCCCCAACACAAGTGGACACACACAAGCCACCTACGAGCCCTCCAACAGTCCCTAGGGTTTTGTCTGTGAATTTCCATGCCTCCCCTGACCGAGCTGCCCAGGCTTCAGTCCCGGCCACTGTGTCAGACCTCAGGAAGCAAACTTCTGTTAACAGTCCCCCGCCTCAAGGTGTAGGCAGAGGGAGCACAAAGATACAAAGGGAAACAATAGCTAAAGGAAGGCCCTTTGGGAAAGAGCAGTCATCTGTCCTGGCCGCTATAGGAAGAGGCTTCCATCTCCAGATACCACAATCTCAGATCCTCAGAGAGAGCAGTGGGGACATGGAAACTCCTGGTAGGATGGGAATGGCACCTCCATGCCCCAACTATACACTTACCCAAGAAGTGATGCCCCAGCCAAGCCCCAGTGCAAATGACCAGCCAAAGGACGTGTCTGGTTTAGCAGGAGACAATTTTACACCAACACCCCAGTCCCTCTCCTCTTTTCTCAGGCTGTCATTCAGGGCTTTCAGATAGTGCCACTAAGCCATACAAGGACATGCCAAGTTTCCTGCCCAAGTTTCCTGTTACACTGTTTGTGATTTCCTGGTGTGACCACTAGATGGCAGTAATCTTCTGTTTTGCGGAAAGGTTAGTTTGAAACCAGGTATTTTGAAAGTTCTTCTTATCCCCAGTGCATTACAAACTGACGCGATGGGTCTTGACCATGCGTCCATATGTGACAAGTCAGGGAGTGAGAACGGGTTGGTTTGGGAAAAAGATTTTGTTGTTTGCACGTTGCATGCCAGTTTACTTTTCTGTTTCTATTGTTTGTGACAAAACATATTTTAGTCTGTTCCTTTTATTTGTATTTTTGTATTAAGTGTTCTGTTTATCTAGAGCCATATCAACTTTGGTTTGATTGAGTGGTAATTGATTGCACTCTTCACAGTAACATCTAGATGACCTGTATGATATTAAAAAAACGTTGTTAAAAATTGTTTAAAGTGTTTATAAATGTTTTGTTATTTTTATAATGCAGAATTCGTTCAGATTGCATGTTACAGTACCTCAAAGTGCCAAGAAATACTGGCCTTGGCTATTGGAAAACAAACTACAACCAAAATCAGCTCCACGCGGCCATTAAACCATAATGTGCTTAGTTTAGCATGATTGATTGCCGGTACGGCTTGGCTTCTGTGTTGCAGGTAATTGATTGTGAAAACCAGAGACAGACATTGATGGATCTGCTGTTAATTGAGCAAAAACATTGCTAGGTAACACTACTGTTGATTACAGATGACTAAAAAAATCCATTTAGATTTGGCACAGGCTGAACAGTGATACTGACTCTCTGCAGCCATGCAGTCATTGCTGCAGTTCAGACGTACATGATCACAGGCGGCCAACACCTGCCATGTTCTACAAAAGCAGATCTTATCCATTGAATTTGCTTCTGGAGGGGCAATGCAGACTTTGCTGCGAGGCACTGCACCGCCATTTTTGCCTGGATCAGCGGAGGTTGGTGTCAGGGATCAACAGCAGGGCCTTGCTGCAGCGCAAATGGACCCCCTGTATTAATTACATCTTCTTGCTATGGTTATCTACATGCAGAGGCTTGGGCCCTTTCCAGAGTTTTCTAATTGAAAGCATGAAACAGATAAAGTAGGATTTTAATTAACTGGGAGGCAGCCCGACACAAAGGCTTGCATCTCTCTTAGCAACCAGCTCCTCCTCAGCTTCTGCTAAACACAAGCAGGGTGGATCCTACCCATATGCCTCCTTTAAGCCTTTGAAATGCTGTTGTTGCTCAGTCTGTATGTGGGTGGGTCGGCAGGGAACAAGAGGCTTACTACATCATCTTAAAGCTTATTCAAGAGACGTTATCTTTGAGCTGCTGCACAATTTCCTGAACCACTACTTAAAATGTAGACTTAACTGTATTGACTTGACTTGATTGTCATACAGATCTATGTGCAAGGACTGCTAAGTCTATAGAAGGAGGTATAGGAGGTTGTTGTACATGTCTGCGTCACTCAACAGTGAAGTTGTGGAGGCAGGGAGGGTGATGCAGGTCTCTGTGGGGCTGTGGAGGACAGCCTCCTGTCATTGACAACCAGTTTGGGGCTCTTATTTTAGAGGACCCTGCATTTCCTCTCCGTCACAATAATGCCTTATGTGCAGCGCTTCCTGTTTCTCAGGCCTAGGAGGAAGGAACAGGGCGCTTGTCACACGGTAGTCACAGCTTCCTCCCTCCCTCCCCCGTTCCCAAACTTCAGACAGTGTTGTGTCCTTCGGAGGGGAAAGATGACTGCACCTTCAGCATCACAGCAGGATGCTGCAGAGCTATTTTTAATCCTAAGTCGGAAAGGTAGCGCACAGACATAAACACAAACTTTAGGATGTCCAGCTGTGTTGATTTAGCATCTGAAAATGGAGGTTCAACTGTGTAAGGCCAATTTTTGTTTTGACTGCGCAGTGGGATTCAGGAGGCCTGCTCTTTGCTCAAAGTGCAATTTATCTAGGTGGCCGATAAACAGTGATCACTTTTAAAACATTACATTTGTCTATGGACAATTTTGAACTACATCCAAAACTATACATATTTTGCTTGATCAAAGGTGTTATTTCTCTGCCATTATTCAACCACACAGTATCAATAGGCAACAAAGCCACCCAGACATGTGCTAGACTGCATTATTGATCACCTAGTTTTGTGGCGCTCTTCTGGCTGCACCCAAAACAAAGGTATTGTGTCCTCCGTACCCCACTGCCTTAATTACTTTCCGCCATATTACTGTCATATTGCAGGGGCTCCAATTACCAAACACCATAGCAACATGGTATTCAAAACTTGAGTGTTGCTGCAGATTTGTTCATAATTAATAGGCTTTTGTTAATTATTAAAAATGGAGGGCTAATTTATCAAAACCATTATTTAAACTCCCTTTAAATGACGCCTTGTTAGAATTGTGGTGGTGTTTGCTGGTTTGTACTCCTAAGCACGTCATTAAAATTCATTGAGTTTGCTGACCAAGTGCACATTCAGATCACAGTGCATTTCTCTGTTAATGCTTAAGACACAGTTTGGACCACTGAACTGTCAATAATCAGATTGTGTTTGAGCTTTTTAAATTTATACTCATGATTGAGTCCCACCACGTAGACATTTCTCCGACCATTACTAGCCTCATTTCATCTGGGAGTTGTTTTAGCCTTAGGTGGTAGACTTGGCAAGAAGCAACTTGTTTGATTGGCTTGTTTAAAGAACTTGATCTGTATGTCTTACCTGAGTAATACCGTACAAAGAGACAGATTGATTGGCAGTATTCAGCAGTTCTCAACTGTGATACAACAAATTAGAAACATGTCAACAAAATAAACTCAATTTCATTATTCATGTAACCACATGTTATCCCTTTGTATTCATGGGCTGGACGGAGTATTAATCAGATATCACGTTCCACTTTGACACTGAACTATATCCCTGCAGCCAATCTTCCATCTGTTAGGAAAAACCTGTTGTTGAATCCTGCTCAACCCCCCCTCCACCACCTCTCCCTGTTTCTTTCTCTCACATTTCAAAATAACCCTCTTTTGCTCTCCCCTCGTCATATTCAACGGGAGAAATATTATTTAACATGAGAAGGTCTGATCTGTCCAGATGGCCTCTCAAATACAGCAAAAGTGAGAGCAAATACGGCATCAATCTTTCAGCCAGCCTTGCTAACGGTATGTGTCCCTGCAGTCAGGAACCCCAACTCAGGAAGTCCTCTCAGTATACATACGTTCATTCAAACAGATGCAGGCACAAAATATGAGTCTTTATGAACTGCTGCGCCATGTTTACTCAGGCAGCATGGAGCATCGGGACCTTAAGGGCCTCTCCAAAGGAACCAGCCATGTTGTGACCTTCAGCTGGGACAGAGGAGCTTAGATGGTGAATGAGTGACAGATGAGGGTGCAGATGAGAATGTGTTTGATGCACTTTGAGTGGGCTTTAGGAATGTAAGTCTTATACTGGTCTGACTGCAGGCATAATAAACACGTAGTTGTTTTTTAGCCACGCTAGCAGCTTGTCTTTATGGATGGCAATGTGGTTGGTCGGTCTATTGGCCCACCAATTCATTCACACCAATCGATTCATGTTCCTTAAAGGATGAATCCTAATGACTTTGGTGATCCCCTGACCTTTCCTCTGGTGCCATCATTTGCCCAGTAGTTTTCCGTTCAGCCTCAGCTGTACATTGTGTTTTTAGCGCTAATTAGCAAATGCTGGCATGCTAACACGCTAAGCTAAGATGGTGAACTGGGTAAATGTTACCTGCTAATATTACCTGCTGAGCATTAAGCTCAAAGCACTGCTGCTGTTTCACATAGTTGCTAGCTTGGTCGTAAACTCTTAGTGTTGTTAAAGAGTGCATGTCTGAGAGAGGGTGGGGGAAAAAGAGACATAACAGAGAGCGTAACAGCAGGCAATGCCTTTGAAACCTGGTCTGGATAGGCACAAGCATGAGAGCAGAAAGACTGAAACATTCTGAAACTCTCATGAAACTTTGTTTTGATAAACTATTATATAGTGTATTCTCTGTCCTGTTTTTTGTGCACAAAAATACTTATACTAGGGTACGATGCTGAATTTGAAATATTTTGTCCTTTCAACCATAAGCTTAGCTCAGGGTGAGAGGCCCGGCGTACAGCAGGATTTAACCACAGAACATCTTCATCACATCAGAAGAGCAGCTGAACACTTCTGTGCATTTTGGCTGTCCCTTAACCAACCACAGAGAAACTGGCCTGGCCACAGTCCCCGGGGCTCAGTGACTGCGCTCTCATTCACGGAAGATAATGACAAAACGAGCGGGATGTTAACGATTTGTGCAGCGACCATGGACATGTGTCAATGGCAAGCATGCAAATTAATGATACAAGCCCCCCATCAAGGTTGTAATGTTCAGAAATAATGCTTTTTTACATTTTGATCAAATGAGGGCATTAAAAGTGTTGTAAATATGATAACTTTGGACACATCTAAAAAGCGTCCCTGTAGCTTTGATGAATCTTCTGCAACAGCATCAACCAAAAACTGTCTTCCACATTTTCTTGCATCGTTGGCTTTGAGAGATTTTCAGGCTTTGCTTGACTGGGAGAGGCCACTGTTGGTCAAAGGAAAAGGTGTTTATTCACCAGAAATTCTGGTAATTAGTTATTAGAATATTGGCAACCCCCTCAACTACAAATGTCTTTGATTAAAAAGATGGGAGATTAGCTTCTGGCAAGTTTGTCATAATTAAAACCTGCATTGTGTAAGGTGTGTGTGGGTGCACGCACAGATGGGGGGGGGGGGATGTAGTTGGAGCCACGGGGAGGGCCTGGAAGAAGAAGAGCTGGGAGGGGCACCCTGTGGCTGGCTGAATTAGTGCCCGCTGGTTTGGCCTGGCAGCTGCTCTCTGAGCCTGGCACGCTAACAGCCTGGCACTGTGGCGCTGTGTTGTCAGGGCCAACCAGCACACAGTAAGGGAGGCGGTAACGCCAGGCCTACCAAACACAAAGTCTTTCACCATAGCAGGCTTTGTCTTCCAACCAGCTTGCCATACTTGCGTTATTTGTTATAGCAATATCATTGGATTAGTACGAGATTAAGTTGGGTAATTAAAAAGGGCAAATTACAATCATGTAGTCAGGGAAAATGTAAATGCCACCCTGAGCCTGTTATGACATTTAGCCGTAATGAAAAATGTGATCATTGTTGGGGGGGGGGGGTTACAGTTTGGTTCCAAAACATTCAGGTGTCACATTCACTGTGCTGTGTCACGTGGTTGGCCGAAGTAAAGATGTATGATTCAGTTAAAAGAAATTCAATTTAATTTGAACTTTTTTGTCAAGAGTGCTCCACAAAAGCCCTAAATTGTAAATTAAATGTGATAAAGAAAGTAATGCCATCTGTTTTAACATCGACTTGTTACTGCAGTAATATAAAAACCACCTTGTCAACAATATG